ATGCGTTGAGGCACTGGTCCGCGCGGCCCGCGAGCAGACGGGTCTACGTCAGGGTCGGCTCGCGCCAGCGGCGGGGGATTTTGCCAGTCTCAAAGGAGTTGCGTTCCGCGCGCGAACCCACGGCCAAGCATGTGGCGAGCGGGCCCGCCGTTTACCGGGCGGGGGCGGCGGCGCGGTTGCTGGGCCGCGCGCGCGTTATCGGTAGTTGTTGCGACGGGCGCCTTTCCGCGGCTTGCCGCCGAACGTGGGCCGTCGTCTGCTGCGACCGGCGCTGGAGGCTCAGGCCGCAAAGCTGCGGCGCGAGGGCGTGCCCCACCCGCGCGCGTCGCTGGACCTCAAGGCGATGTCGTTCCGCGTGCGCCCGCGCGGATGGCTGCGGTGGTTTGCGGCGAAGGCTACCTGCCGTTCTGGGCTCTTGGCGGTTCGCTGGGGGCGGGGGCGGATCCCTCGGAGGCAGGGGCTCAGGGTTGCTGCCGTTCAACAACTGGCGCGGGCCTTCGACGCACGCGCGGCCGCGGCGGCGATCTTGGCCGACCAGCTGAGTTTGCTGTCGCTTTGGTGTCGCAGGCAGCGCGTGCTGCAGGTGCGATTTGCCCCGGGCGTGCGGCAGCGCGGCCTCGCGGTGGTGCGGCGCAGATGGCCGCGCGTGTGAGTTCGCTGAACGAGCGGCCGCTCATGGCGTTGCACTTCGGTGTGGTGGCGCGCCGCTCGTGGGCAGAGAAATCCAGGGCGGGGGATCCGAACTTCGAGGTTCGTGCGTCGCGTGTCTCTGCGCTCGCCCAGTCCATCGTTCTGCGTTCGAGGTGAGCCGTGCGGCGCAGAGGCGGGGCGTGGGCATGCCGGGCGCGGCCGTGGCCGCGTGAGGCGCGGCGGAGGGCAGGCCCGCGGAGTCAGCGACCGCCGGGGCGACTGGGTGCCCGTCTGAGGGGCCATCCGCGACCGGTCATCGCGGCGGCCAGGGTGACCGCGCGCTGGGGCGCAGGCGACCAGGGCGGGGCGAAGAGCGAGTGTTCAGCACAGGGGGCCGCCGGGGCACGCGCCAACCCGGCGGCCCCGAGGGCGCCCGAGATGCCTTGTCAGCGCCCGTGAGGCGGGTTCGGGGTCGCGGGAGCGCGGCGGCCGGCCACGATCGCGCGCCGCGCGTCAGGCGTCGGGCCGGTGCGCGGCGCGATGGCGGCGCCAGCTGCCCAGCGAGTGACCGTTGCATCGCGCGAAGTGAGTGCCGGGGGGCGATTTGGGCCTCCAGACTGCGTCGGCAGTGTGCAAGGGGGGCGTGGGCTAGTTTTGCCCGACTGCTGCATAAGGCGTCCTCGGCGCGTGCTGGCGAGGATCTGCCGAAAATCGAGTTCGCGCGCTGCGCGTTGGGATCTGCCCCTGCGCAGCCGGCGTTTCTTGTTGCCAATCGCGACATTAAGGGCACTTTCGCGTGGTTCGCAGCGTCCGGCCCCGCCGATGCTGCGCGCGCGAGGGAGAGGTGGATCCGCGAGATCGAGCGCCTTGGCCGCTCTTTTGAAGATAGCGGCGAGGCGGAGAATGGCGCAGGCAGGCGCCGGGGCATTTCAAACCCATAATTCGCGAAGTCAGTATTCCATTGCACCGTGCGCTCGTGGTGCGGTCGGAGTACTGAGACACAGGAGTGGTGCATAACTGTGCGGAGGGCGCGCCGATCGTTTGGGCGCTGCCGTCAACTGGGCATGGAATTCCCGTGCGAGGGAAGGCTGTCTGCCAGTGTGCTGCCGCCCTGCGCGCTGGTGCGGTGATGTATGGTTGAAAAATTGGAACTTGTCTAACCGCGCTAGGTGCGTCACTCTCGGGGCGCGTGCAGATTGTTCCAGGTGCGCCCGCGCACATGGCAGCGCGCGTCGGGAACGTGTCGGCCCTCGCCGTCCTTGTCGAATTGAAAACGGACGGGTGCACAATCGCGGCGGAAAGACCATCATGGCGTCTGGTGGGCCTGCGCACAGCAGGCAATAGGCCAGCGCGCCCGCCGTCCTGTCAAAAACCAATGCGAAGTGACCGCGGGGTGGCTGCGCACGATCCACATTTATCCGCGACGTGCATTCTGTATTGTTCCCAACCATCCTGTGGTGTTGGGTCATCGTTTTGAAGAGACGGTGCCCCGCGTTCCTCCTGCCTTCCTTCCCGCCCTCCTTGGGGTGTCCGCATGCGGTTCCCCCACCCAGGGCAGCGTTTCGTGGCCCCATAGGGAGCTCCACCGTAGGCCCCAGTGGGGGTGTCCGCATGCGGTTCCCCGACCCAGGGCAGCGTTTCGTGGCCCCATAGGGATTTCCACCGTAGGCCCCAGTGGGGGTGTCCGCATGCGGTTCCCCCACCCAGGGCAGCGTTTCGTGGCCTCACAGGGATTTCCACCGTAGGCCCCAGTGGGGGTGTCCGCATGCGGTTCCCCCACCCAGGGCAGCGTTTCGTGGCCCCATAGGGAGCTCCACCGTAGGCCCCAGTGGGGGTGTCCGCATGCGGTTCCCCGACCCAGGGCAGCGTTTCGTGGCCCACAGGGAGTTCCACCGTAGGCCCCAGTGGGGGTGTCCGCATGCGGTTCCTCCAGAGGGAGCTCCACCGTAGGCCCCAGTGGGGGTGTCCGCATGCGGTTCCCCCCAGGGCAGCGTTTCGTGGCCTCACAGGGATCTCCACCGTAGGCCCCGGCGGGGGTGTCCGCATGCGGTTACCCCATCCAAGGCAGCGTTTCGTGGCCCCATAGAGGGAGCTCCACCGTAGACCCCAGTTGGGGGTGTCCGCATGCGGTTCCCCCACCCAGGGCAGCGTTTCGGGGCCTCATAAGGAGCTCCACCGATGGCCCCAGTGGGGGTGTCCGCATGCGGTTCCCCTACCCAGAGGTAGCGCCACCGAAAACGATATTCAGATTTGCGGTACTCACGACTACATATGGTTGGGTCGTTCGCCAGGCTAATTTTTGATACGGATGGTGGTTCCGCGCGCACTAGGCAATATGAGAACCTCCCCGCCGTTTATGTCAAAGAACAATGCACAATGTTCGCGGGGCCCACGAGGGTGACTCAAGAAATTGCCCCGATCTGAACCCATTCAGCCGCGCGCTTGGGCCACGCAAGAACCCCCACCAGCCACGCGCCGACCGGGCCACGCAAAAGTCCCATCGCGGTGGAGGACGTGGACATTCCCAGGTGCGTCCAGAGGTCCCATCCGGTTCCCCGAGGCCTATGGAGCCCTCAGGAGGTCCTACAAGGTAACATAGTGAAAGTTAGTTTGGCTCAGCTGTTTTTGTTGCCGCGTCCGCTCGCCGCTCGCGTGCACCGCAGCGCCTGTCTCGTGCCATTCCTCTTCGGGTTGGCGCTGCCTGGACGCGCGCCGCTGGAGCCCCCGCGCTGCCCGAGGGGCCGGCCCGGTTGGGCCAGGCCCCCGGTACCGACGAGATTTGTGCGTCGGACAGGCTCCGCCGAGGAACGGGCGCGCGTAGGCTGCGTCGCAACGGTCGTTCGGGTGATTTCGGCATCGCGCGGGACCTTCGCCGGACTCTCCAAGAGCGCGCCGTGCGCCGAGCTGCAACAGCCGACCTCTCTGCACCAAAGCAAACGCTCTGGAGGCGGCGCGGCTGGCCGCACACCAGCCAACGGACGGTCGCTGCAGAGCAGCGTGGCGCAGAAATCGTACCTGCGTTCTGCAAGCCATATTTGCTTTGTCACGTGTCGCTTTTGCTGCATCTGCCACAGTGATTTTCGTCCACCTGAGGATGCAATTCCTGGGAGGTCGATTTCAGCATCGGCGCTGGTACGTTCGTGGTCGAAAGCCGGCCTGATCTGGCATAGTCCCACGCCAGATTCCTCTCCTCCTTCTCCCCGGGAAGTGGTAATGAGGGTGCGTCTAGCCCCGCCCCTATGTTGGTGCTCGCGCGCTCGCAGCGCATCCCCGCCCCGATGTGCCCCACCCCGCCCAAGCGTTGCCCTTACCCAGGGCCCAATTTCCGCCCGAACGATTTTTTAACTATACCCGACAGCCCCTGGGGGCGGGCGAGGGTCCTAATCGTGGGTCTGATATACAAATTCCGTCCTTGGGGCGTGGTTTTTGTATACTGACAGTGGCCCGGGAGGTGGAATCTGACTGGGGCGGGGAAGGTGTGGTATTTAACATAATTTTGAGGACCAACCCTTCCCCCCCTGTAGCGCCCGTGGCATCATATAGAAATCGAATCAATATCATGACCCAGGAGTCGGGTCCGAAATAGCCCTTAATCTTTCCTACGAAGACCTAGGAGTTGCTTCCTAAGACTCCTCCTCCTCGTCCTCCTCGCCAGCAACCTGAGCAGAATGGCTGTGAGTCCGTCTGGCCCGCTCCCGTCCAGACCATTTGCTGATCGTGGTGATGAAAAATAAGGTGGGTCAGGATCGGTTGGGAGTGTTGCAAGAGTTCGCCAGCAGTTTCTGACGGGAGGTGTGGGTACGTTAATATATCTTTGCACGGACCGCTACACACATGACATGCTCTTACTGCAAGAGGATCATGCCCGTGACGCTTGATTGGCAGATATACAATCCAAGGTGGTTATGTCTAAGACAGACCAGGGAGTGTATATTCCCGCGGTCACATTTGAGCGTAGTGTTGATACAGGCGGAGGCACAGTAATTGAGACAACATCGCGCGTCTAGGTTTCGCTTTCTCCCTGATGGTGCTGAGATATTTCCAGGACGAGTGTCGGCTGGAATGGTGCATTCGGGCCGACCTCAATGAATCGTGATGATCTCAGCTTACCTCATCGTTGGCGATGGACTTGAGGATGCAAGCGTTAGTGGCCTACATGTGGTTTCACGCTGCAGATGGGTTTAGTAACTACGTCGTCGTCTACCCCTGCACGTGTGCACAGTCAAGGGAATCCCCGGAAATGCGGGACATTTGGGAAGTGGAGGGAAAAACGTACATCCAGAACATATGGAGCACATGGGGAGTCCTTGGATTTGCGTCTGTTCATTTGCGTGTCTCTGGCCCCCTGCAGAAGCGGCTGGGCGGGGGAGGTATGTGCCGCCCAGCTACGACGCGGAATTCCCGTCGCTCGGCAGGTAGCAGGTAGCAGGCGGCGCCTCCGCTCTCGGCGAGGTCACCCGCGCTGCGTCCTCGCCGGGAGGGGTGATGGGGACGAGGAGGAGGAGGAGGGGGAGAGGTGGAGGAGGAGGGGGAGAGGAGGAGGAGGGGGAATGGGCGGAGGAGGACCAGGAAGAGGAGGAAGAGGAGGAGGAGGAGGAGGAGGAGGAGGAGGAGGAGGAGGAGGAGGAGGAGGACCAGGAAGAGGAGGAGGAGTATTCCGCCATCACGTAGTCATGCGCATGAGAAAAGAGGGGCAGCTCAGGCGACGCACAAGAACTGTTCCAGGGACGAAAGTATGTCTGGGATGTGGTCCTTAAGTAAGATGTGAATAACACAAGGCTTGGCGAATTTTCGCCGATCGACTTGTGGGGATCAGGCTGGGCTTATCAGCAAGGCAGGCAGACTGAGGATCAGCCAGGTCAAATCCAGGCAAACCGAGGTAACTCCAGGGATCCCCAGGGAGGTCTGGAGCAAATCGTGGCCGCACCAGCGCGAGTCGAGGGGCGGCAGAAGGCGTTGAGCGTTGAGCCCTTGACGGCCCTCGGCGGACGATCCTCGGGAGCCGCCGCCATCCTCGGCGTCGTCACAGTGGAAGCTTGTGTTGCTTCCTCGCCCTTGTGTGTGCTGTGCTCTCCCTTTCTCTCTCCCTGCTTGGCTCCCCCTCCCCGTCCCCCCGTCCCTCCGTCCGTCGGCCCAGTCTGCCCTTTCCGGTCGCCCCCCCTCCCTCTCCCCCTCTCGCTCCTCGGCTCCTCGCTCTCCGGCCCGTTCCTGCTCCTTTCTTGGCCCGCTTTTCTTTGTCGGCCCGCCCTGTGGTCCGAATAAGAGTTGCGGCGGCCCGCACTGCCACGCTGACGGACCCCCCCCTCCCTCTGGCTTTTGGCCGGGGCGGCGGGGCAGGACAGGCGACGGGTTGGACCAGCCTGACGGCCGAGCAGCGCGCGGTCTGCCTCCAGTGGAAGCCGTCGGTCGCAGGCTGCGCGGCGTGGGGAATCTTCGGAGGCGACGACAGAAGGGCGAATCGCCCAGGGGCGGGTATCGCACGTGTGCCCCTGGGCGCCTCGCCGAAGACATGACCATCGGCGCCCATGAGCGAAGAGAACACGGCGCGACCATGAGCTGAATAGGCAGTGTGTGTCGAAGAAGAGCAGACCACGTAAACATACACTTTTGGCGCTCCGCGCGGATTTCTGGGATCCGCGCCTGGGCCCCCCGGCGGCGCCTCCGGCGCCGCCCCTGGCGCGCTCCCCGTGCCAGAGAGGGGGGTCCAGCGCGAATCCAAGAAATCCGCGCGGAGTGCCAAAAGTTTCTGTTAATGTGTTTTTTTCTTGTTCTAGTGTGCTCGCGCGAGTCTTGTGCGGACGCCCTTTGCGGGGGACATTGGGCGCCTTGTGCGGGGCTCTTGCGAATGCCCCTCGTGGAATTGGATCCGTGGACGTGCGTGCTCATTCCAGCCAAGGAGGAGGCGCGGACTACGCACGACAGACACGGACCCCTTGCACAAGACCAATTGTGCGCCTTGTGCGCTGGTGCCGTAACAACTCAGAGATCTGCGCGGCTTTCTGGGATCGGCGCTGGGCCTGGAAGAGCGCCCGATCTCGTCCCACCTGCAGCCGAGGGCCGGTGACTCGACGGAGCGGCCGTGGCGGCCGTGGCGGCAGGGAACCAGCATCGGGGGGCGGTGGGCGGGAATACGGGCGACCCATGGCATCGTACCTACTGCGTTAGTCGTGGGAAAAGCAGTGCTCGAAGAGATGGCGACAATGCAGCAGTCAGCCAAGGAGCCGACGTGCACATCGGGGCGTTGTTCATCTGTCAGAGTGCAAGAGTCGATTGAGCGAGCCGATTCCCTGAGAGCGTCGTATCACAGCATCATGTGTTCGCCCTCTTTTGTTCAATTCCCACTTCCCCTGCTTGAGCCACGCGCGCAGGTCGCGCTCGCGCCGATTCTTGTGTGACTCGGCCCACGGCTGCTTACTCCTCGTCCACTTCGGCGTCGTCCTCCTGGTGCTCCTCACGTCCGAGCCCTATCATGAGCCCCACGCCCCACGCCCCTTGCCTCATTCCGCATGCTCCACCTTGTTCTCCTCCTTGCTCCGCTTCCGGTTCGACCTTCTCTCCTTCGTCGTCTTTCTTCTCATCCTGCTCCTCCATCTCCTCCTTCCGCTTCGTCCTCCTCCCCACCTCCTCGTCCTTCTCTTCCTTCCCTGCTCCTTCTCAGAGGCCCGGCGTCTCCATCTTTTCGAGACGCGAGCTCCGGACCTCCCGAGCACTTCCCCAGGACTGGCTCTTCATCTCGGGTCGTTTTCTGCCAGCCTTGAGGCCCAGTTGCCCACAGAGGCTGAAAACTACGAACAACAATTTACGCCTCGATTTTTTGTTCGAGGCGCTTGAGGTCCTCGTCCTTCTCTCCCTGTCTTGCTCCCTCTGTTTTTCTGGGGCTCTCGGGCCACTGGAATGTCTGGCGGGCAATCTTGGCACTCGCCTGTGGGCCGTTGGGCCGCCTCTGGCCTTGTCTGAAATCTGGGCCAAATGCAGCAACAAGATGACGACAGTGATCTGCCCACCCGCCTACCCCGGGCTTGCGCCGTGTACTATAGGTGAGTGTGTCGGCACCCTTCTGTAAAAGCAGATGCGCACCTCAGGAAGGAATCCCAACGCCCTGCCCATGATGCTCCTGAGGCACTCGTCCCGCATGAGACTGTCCAGTGCCTTCGGCACTACGCTGCTCCATGCTGGGTGAAACGGAAGTTTAAGCCAGCTGATTCTCCCCTGCGGTCGTGGAACGGTCCTGTTTCGTACCAACGACCGAATTCGGCAAGCTAAAACAGAACGCGACAACCTACTCGAAAGCACAAGTGGGGGGAGGAATAAAGCTGATCTAACTATCTCAATCTAGCCTGAGGCCACGCCCTGTGTATGTGCATAGGGTGGGTGCTAGACCAGCTCAAGGGTGTTGTGGCCAACGTTGCTTCCTTACACTTAGGTTGTGCTGCAATTGCGTGGTTGTTGATGCTGAAATGCAGTTTCAGTCATCCCACTTCCTGGGTGCCGAAACTGTCTTCCTCAAGTGTGACGTACCCCGATGCCTCTCGAAGGCACCTGTACAGAAAACCTAAATCATGAACATTCCGTATAATGATGATGCCATCATTGTACCTTAAATTCTGCCGAATGCTGATCGTTTGCCACACACCCGCGATGCGCTCATCAACCCGGGATAAGAAAGCCCCACTGCTGGGAGGCTCATCTCTGATCCCAGGATGACGTCTCCCTGGAAATTGGTGGCTTTCAACGTATTGCGAGCCTAGAAGCACCGACGGTGCTCTTCGAAGTCAGGTTTTGAGGGGATCGGATAACCATCTAGTCACATCTTGGATTAGCCTTTTGTTTCGTGCCTGGCATGAAAAACTTGCGGATGTTAGCCGTGCAGATAGGATCCGAAAGTTCGGTGTGAAGTGCCATGCATTTTTGTACTTCTTCTTTGGAGTCCCGCACGAGATGTGGAAACTCATTCAGCTTCTCTTTGAGAAAATTCCGAATCCAATGAACCAGCCCTGCTAATGCATAACTGCTAGACCCGTGAATGTTACGAAACGTGATCTCGCCATCGGGTTTGTGCGTTTTGCATGTCTTGACCAGTTTGGCTCTGATACTCGAGCTGGGAATCCGCATTGATATAATAATGTTAGGCATTTTAATATTACGTGTAATACGGCAGTGCGTTGATGCAATGCTGTCGAACTGTATCCAAGTTGCCGTTTCTTCGTACTGTTTTGAGCCAACTTTGCGGTCATCATCTGCTTATAGCAAAGTGCACCCAGATTCTTTACCATTTTGTGGATTTGCCTGATTCTTTCAACTTCTGAATTGCCTTCTTGACCACAGGGCGCATATTTGACCATCGATTGCAATGCCTGGATTTTTGCACCTGCTCCATGCATGCCTCAAGGGTAAAAGTCCTGAGCTGCTTAACCCAAGCGTTGACACCAGGATCAACCTGTTCAGTGCATGGCGCTGTTTTCCATTGTCTCATTCTGCATGGGAGCACGCGGCTATCAACAGTCCCTCCCGACGCAGCCTTCCACTCCGACGATTGGTGAGATCATTTGCACTGCCATCTACCATTGGGATGGTCTCTTTGCAGAAGACGTGCTTGGAATTGAGGCGGACGAGAAGCCGCTGGACACACCCTGGCATACCTGGTCTTACCAACGTTTGCTTTTCACGCTGGTGCCTGCACGAACAGCTGGAAGCATCACTGAGAGTGAGCAGAGACAGCCAATCGTTATATATATATATATATATATACAGATATGCTCCTTCCGTCTCCCGCTCCATCCATCTCTAGGGGAACGAAGGATGACATTAATACAACACTTCGGAGGTCCCCGCGGACCTCCGAGTTTCTATGTTTGCGTCATTCTTCGTTCCTCTAGAGATGGCTGGAGCGGGAGATGGAAGGAACACACACACATATATATATATATATATAGATATACACATATACACGATTGGCTGTCTCTGCTCACTCTCCGTAATATCTCCATCTCCCGCTCCAGCCATCTCGCTGCAGCGGCATCTGGCATGCTAGAGCGGGAGTGCAGCGGGCGAGAAACCCACTGGACACGCCGTGCGCCGGGCTCCCCGGCCCGTGTGCGCGCTGCTCCGCCGTGCACGGCCCGCCTCTCCGCTCCAGGGGCCCGCGCCGCGCCGCCCTCTGTGCGCCGGCCTGGCCGCCCACTGTCTCGGGGGCTGCCGGGAGGGCCCCCTCGGCCCAGGGGTTTCTCCGAAGGGAGCAACACGGGTTCCCAAGGATTCCCAGGGTGCCCCAGGGTCCAGGATTCCCCAGGATTCCCGAGGATTTTCCCGAGGATCTTCCCGAAGGGCCCAAGGTGCCCCCAGGATTCCCAAGGAGGCCCCCACGGCCTCCAGAGCACCCCGACGGCCTCCAGAGCGCCCCTCCACAGGGGTTCCCGGTT